CTGCTCAAAGAGTAAACAATAAAGTGTGCTGGTGTCAAAAGTTCATTATTAACCATTAGTATGCTTATTTTGAGAAAGTAAAGTGTTCTTTATCCCTGTGTCAGCATGCTGGTGTTTGCTAATTAGTAGCCTAGACTGTATATAAAAGATGGACAGAACCACCACGACTTCACCCATTGGTTTATTGATGAATGCTCAAGTCGGTCCTCTTTATTTTAGGGATTTTGTGTTTATATACGTATGTTTTCTTACTTTATTTTAAAAATGTTACATTAGCAAAAGTTAGTGTAAATAGCAAAACTCTAAAAAACTGTAATTTCACAAGAACTTTTATGCTCACTTGAGGTAGTTTTTGACTTTTTTTGAAGAAGAAGTAATGTGCCTCATGGGAGATGGAAACGCATTTTCCAATTAAGTTCTGACACAAAACCATTTAACTCACATGACTAAACAGCTGCTTCCATTTCTGTCAGTGTCTTTGCTCAATTTTTTCTAGATGGACAAAGTTTTGTTTGTTTCTACTTGCCAGGATTAACATAGTCTGTACCGTCACTTTCTGTCAGCTGCGTGCTTTAGTTCATTCACACCAAAGCAGTTAATGGGAACAACCCTAATTCACTTTTTTTTGGACATTACAAAAGTTTGTTTCAAATTGCTTTACAATTCTGTGGAACATTTTTGCAATCAGAGGACGTGCCGTCTGTTGAAAACTAGACAAAGAATGTGGATTCAAGGCTCTCCAACGGCTTCACTTTTCAGACCTGGAGGCTACGTCCATCTTTTCTTTACAGTTTGATTAGCTTTAACACAAACTGCAGCTGAAGCTGATGGGAATGCCATCAGTTCTGTAGGTCATCATTCACCAGTGTTGTTACAGCTCATCCTGACGGGAACATGAGCATCTGCACAAAATGTTATGATAATCCATCCAAACAGTTTTAGGACAATTTTCTGTGGAACAAAGCTGTGGATCAACCCACACTGCAATGCCTACAGCAGCTAGCACTGCTACAAATGAAATGAAAAGGGACAAGATGATATCGTAGGGATGTTAATGTTTCTTTGAGCATCTTAAGGTTCCCTTGTCACTACCATTGCTGGACATAAAATCTGACTTTGTGTGATTTGGAAAACTTGTGACTTCGTTTAAGCTCAACCTAAAGAATATTTTCCAGTTTGGAGCAGCTGTCTGTATCCACAGGTTATTAGAGCTGGTGCAGAGTTATGTATCCACTCCTCAGTGTATAAATATTAGCTGTGTAGCAGCTGCTAACCTCAGTGTTGACCTTTAGCAGAACATGTTTTGTCATAGCTTCCTGGCCACAATATAACCCCAAACACTAGTGAAGCTCTTTATCGAATGCACACTGAATGAAATAACTTCTTTTAAAAAATCTCTATTTACTCTTATGGTGAAATATTCTAAACATTTGTCACATAAAAGAAAGGCAGTAGATAAGGCATATATGAAGAAATGCAATATTTGAACTTAGTACATGAACAGGAGGCTACATCATGCTAAAGAAAGGTTGAACAGATTTCAGTGCAGGGCTGCTTCCACGAGGTTGGATGCAATGTTTTGCTTTTAACACAAGCTGTTTTTTCAAAACAGTGCATCAGCGCATCAAGTGCAGAGTCATCCAACAGACACCAGATCTGCTCCGTGCTTGTATGCATGCGTGTTTTATCAGATGCGTGTACAAATGCGGTTGGAGCAGCATGTCCTGAGGTCTCTGGTGTGGAGTGTGGAGAACACGGCCATCAGCAGTGTGTTCTGCCAGCAAATAAGACCTCGAGATACCAGAGAGTTTACAGGAACCTCAGCAGCTCTGCGATCATGTTTCCCCCTCTGACCCAAAGTGGATGTCTGATGATCTGAGTACTTAAGCCAGGGAAGCTCCCCTCCCCAAAGCCAGACATTCTGCAATTTGTCTCCCTCCTCCTGCGGGATAGCCAGCTGTTTCCACCTCACTACCCTTACTCACTATCCCTCTGTACCTTTCCCTCCATGCAATGAAAAACGACACTCCTCTGCCTCCCTTACCTTATCATACATAATGATATTTTCTACAAAAGTCCTCGGATTTTCCCTTATTAAGTGTGTCACCACTGCTTAATGAAATGACAACCTCCCACACACACACACACACACACACACACACACACCTACACACACACACACACACACGTCTTTCTTCTTGCCTTGTTTTAACACACATGACCTACCAGCATTCCTATATGGCGAGCTCACCCAAACACACACACACACACACACACACACATGCACACACTCCCAGCCATTTTCTCAAGTGAGCACAGCGTGCTATCTCACAGCAAGAACCGCGTAATGTGTATGTATGTGCACATGTGTGTGTGTGTGTGTGTGTGCAGAGGTGATATGGTGCTGGTTTTGATTTTATGTCTTTCAAGAGACTTGGGGTTGTGTTTCAATTCCTGAAGCGTTAATGAGGTTTTGTTTGTGGGGCTCACATGCAAACTCATTATCCAGATGAGTAACCACAAGGCATTGTTTCTGGAAAGTTGTGCTGCAGTGTTTGAATATTTTTTTGTTTAATTCTGTGAGCACTGCAAAGAAAATTGGATTGACCTCCACTGTATTGGCTCATGCTCGTAGCATCTTGGTAACACGTTTTTTTTCCTGCAATTTAGTGAAATGATGTATTTTTTTTTAAAGCTGCTCCAGTAAATATTTTTGAACTAACAGTGAATCAAATGACTGTTGAAGTGAAAGTTGTAGCTTGTCATGACAAAACCTAGTGACCCTGAATTCCCCTGAGCTTTACGGTGCATTTTGACCTCTTTTTGTGTTGGTTTAACACTTCAGCTCAGTCTAACTGCTCTTATAGCAGTGATACTAGTTGCAACAGGTAAATATTTTAGATGAAGAAGCTCTGATACATTCATTCTACTCTACCTGCTTAGAACTAATCAGCAAACTAGAGGCTAGCTATTGAACATACTTGAGGTAATTGCAAGCCAAAATTCTAGCCAAAAAGTCTTACTAATTGTTTGTCATGTAGTTCACTTCATAGATTTTTTGAACAGCAATCTAAAGTCTTTCTTTATTGTGGCCTTTAATGAACATTTTCCATAACTGCTAGATTTTTGCAGGCTAAATGTCACAGCCTGGCAGAAGACATGAGTCCATGGAGGAGTTGAGTTGTTGTACCAGCTCAGACATGTCTACACAAACAGACAGAGGACTCGACACTGTAGATGTTTTCAGACAGCAGAGATAACAGCTAGAGAGCTATATATTTATATATGGGGGTGTTTTTCTGTGCGTACAAAGACAGCGCTGTTTAACTTAATGTGGATACTTAATCCAAGGAACGTGCTTATTATTTCTTAGAAAGATGGAGAAATAAATGCTGATGGAGCGACTCCACTGAGAAGCCAGAGGAACTGAGGCTGGAGGCCAGATGTGATGTATTCATGCTGGTTCTTTATAGTGACTGTGGTGCTAGCAGCCAGTGAACATAGTGCTCACATATTAAGGACTGAACAGCCATTAAAAGTTTGTAGCTAATGCATTTGCTCTGAATAGACATCTCAAATTACTACTTTGTCTGCCTTTCTGTTTTTTTTTTTAATTTAAATGCTGGTGATAGACTCAGCGTTGCTCATCCTTTATCTGTTCATTTAGTGGTTTCTGACCAGATTCTGCAGCTCTGCTTCCAATCACGCTGACGTTATCTAAACACAGCACTGATGCATCAGTGGTGAAATAACGTTCTTGGTCAAACGCAGCGCAGAAATCAGCCCTGTCTATTTGATTCCGCTGTTGCAGCCAAGTCGAAACACAACCAGCTGTTCATTTGTTATTTGCTGTTAAAGAGCTGAGGATCTCCAACATGGCTGCCTGAGGGTGCATTACGTCCGTGGAAAGCCTGTTTCTGGGTCTGTTACGCTGAAAAATGTTTGACAAGACCAACAAAGATGTGATGTGACATGTTGTTTGATCCTGACCTTGAGAAAACGTGCACAGCTATCAGCGCTGCACTATTGACCTGAGTAGTGTTGTTCTCTGCCAGAGAGGCTGACTATCATCACGCTAAGCTCTGTTTATCTTTCTGACAGGGCCACATGGAAAGTGACAGCTTGACCCACAACCTATGTGGGTCAGCAGCACCATGCATCAAGAGTCTGAGATAGAAGTATCTCCTCAGGATGGTGATTAGCTGTCCCATGTGGCTGATTGTGTTTGCGGGGAGGAAAGACAGGCTCTGCTGCAGGTCTCAGCTGATCACGGGGGCAGGAAAAAGGCAGGGTCACGCAGAAGTATGAACTCTGGATACTGATGATGTTTGACATTAAAACTTGATCTCAATCACATTAGCAGTGAGAACCGGATGGACTTTGGCAGGACTCCCGTCTCTGAACGTGTCAGTGACAGCGGTGCCTGATTTAAAACAAAGACTTTGCAGGTCTTATCACTGGAAGGGGAGGCAGATACACAGAACAGACCAACCCGGTGCCTCTAACACCTACAAGGTTTTACCGAGCTCTGACTTTGAAGTGCACTGAGTTGTGCCATGCCAATTTGTTGGTTTATTTAGTTTTGTGTGAAGTTACGTCAAAAAAATGCTGGATTCTGAAGAGTGAAAGGCTCCAACAATGACTCAATGAGCATCTGGATTTATTTTATTGTTCAAAGCAGAGGAACGCGATGCCCCACTCTTTGTCGGCGATCCAAACACAACATGAACAGCTTGATGCAAAACTCAGACAAGATTAAAGGGGTGACAAGTACACATTTAACTCTCTGTGGAACAAAATGATCCAGTAGGCAATAATAACTTACAATCAATATGACACACAAATGATTCATTCACCAGATTGCTGCTTATGTTCCAGCTCTGTGCTGTGGTGGAAAAACAGCCACAACAACTGGTCACCAGTAAAAGTCAAATATGACTTCATTTACGGCAACGAAGGCTGTTTGTGTGTCGTTAACTGTGACTCTATGTGTGTTTCAGAGCATTGAGCGAGAGGAGCCAATAGAAGTGGACCCAGCCCCGACACATGCTGGACAGGAGAACGGACACACTGCTGCACCAGGTAATCACACAACTGCAAGGTGTCCCCACATTTACTGTCTATATGCACAGAGTGGTTTCAGCCTTCATTCACAGGAGGCATAAAAACACATTAAGCGTATGTTACTTGTCATGGTTGGTACAGCTCAGCCTGAGAAAACAGTCGCTGATGGTATTTGTGGCTTCGTCAACCCCAATCACAGTTAATGTCAGTTTAGGCTAGGTTTGGAGACTACAGATTGTTTTTAGAAAGCCTATCCTGCATCACAGACTAAAGTTGGAGATTTTACAAGATGTTTTTCAAGGCAGGGAGGTTCTTGCAAAAAGAAGCAATTGAACTGCAAAATGAGAAATGTGGGACTCAGTGTTTAGGAGTTCAAAGACAAAATAGGAGAATATCAGCTGCTGCTACGTTCATATTGTAGAAAAAGGTCTGCCAGCATGAAAGTTACCAAGTTCTTCCAGGGGAAGCAAGTGGCTGCTCCAACATGCAGGAAGTTGAATTGTCTTAATATACACTGTAAAGTTTGTATGCTGTACTTGTGTTACTTGTTTTAAAGTGTAGAATGGAGAAAGTTAACATAAACTCATTATAGCCACATTAAAGGGGAATATAAGAATTATTCATGAAAGCTGTATTCTTTGATGTTTGGCCGCTGGGGGGCAGCAGGAGAAGCTGTAAACACAACATTGACATATTAGCGCCTTACACTGTAAAGATCAAATGGTAAATGTGTTACCAAACAGCAGCCCATTCACAATTTTGGAGCAACATTAGCCTTTATTTGGAGTCGTGTTTCTGACAGTGTGACAGGTTTAAGTCCAGTAGTTGCTTTCTTTTAGCTCTGTTTTGCTCTCAACCAACTCCAGAGGAAAATACTGAATCTAGCTCGTTCTACTACACCAAGGTAATAGTCTCCTATGTTCAGCAGCTTGTCATTAATAATGTTTGGTGCTGAGCAGGTATTGTACTGTGATTCATCGGAGTTCAGTAGCAAAAAATCTAAATAATAAGCTTAAAAACGGTAAAACTTCCTGTAGAGCTGAAGAAAACTCCAGATTAATTTTATGTTGTGTTTATTTAAAACTGTTGATTGGTGCACCATAAGACATTTCATCATCATCATAGTTTTAAATCTTTCTGTCCAACCAGAGCATTCGGTGTTGGTACATGGAAAGATCTCTCCACCCAGCGACTTCCCACACGAGCACACAGCACCAGTCGCCATGCGGATGCCTCACCTTCCCATCACTGCTACAACCAAGACAGCAGAAATCAAAGGTTCTCCCGTCTTTCCCAGCAGTCCTGTTGGTTCTATGTCCTCTTCAATCCTAGAGGCCTCACCTACCGACCAATCGGCTGCAAGCATCACCCAGCCCCAATCAGCGGAGGAGTCTCTAATTCAGCCAGGTGTCTGACAGTCTGATCATCAAGTCAATTCATGCTATGTGTTTTTTCCCCTTTGAATCGTTAATGTAGAATAATTCATATCTGGTTTTGGAAAACCTCCCAACTCATATTCCTTTTGATTTTCTGTCTGTCAGTGCCTTCTGTGAAGACATGGACTCCTACACCCATCAGAGCTCTGGGATCTCCATGTCTTCAGGGTGAGCACTTCATTCACTCAGTATATTTTTTTTAAAAAAAGACAACATCCCAGATGTGATTTTCACTCAATGTACTGTGTCTGTTTTGCAGAGAAGACAAATTCAGCTCCCGCTAAGTCTGTGACCTATTCAGGGCTGCCACAGCATGACAGGTAAGTGGATGGGGAAGAACACACCTTCAGGACGGATAAAATAAGTTTTGCTTTGTCTGACTCTTGTGTGCTGCCACCCTGTAGAGACGGTGATGTTAGCAGTGACAGGTCCTTCGGGCAGATCGGAGAGAGGAGGCGGGAGCTGGTGAGATCGCAGACTCTGCCTCGTAACATCGGCGCTCAGGCTCGTCGATCCATCTTTGAAAAGCTGGACTCTGAAGCCAGTAACAGGTCAGTGCAGTGCAATACTGTAGCTGGGTCATATGGGAACAACAGTGCATTGATGATTTATGTTCTCTGTCTTATGTCCTCTGCACAGTCGCCCTAAACCAGTGGACTCTAAACCAAAGCTGAAGCGGTCTCAGAGTTTTGGGGTGTCCAGCGCCAGCAGCATCAAACAGATCCTTCTCGAGTGGTGTCGCTCCAAGACCATAGGCTACCAGGTACAACACCGGTCACCACCTGACCAACACACTTCTAGTCTGACAGTGTTATATTGTCATTTACTACACCGTATTACCGATGTTTTATGGGTGTAGAGCATTATAAATCTATTTCGAGCCATATTTTATAACATGTGGCCCATTTATTACTGGAACTGTTGGGTTCCTCACAACCTCTGATCCTGTTTTAGTCCACTGACTACAGATTCTACGGACCATCATTTTTCAGAACAGATCCTAGTCGATTGCCTTTGTGAATGTGTTTTCCTGCCTTCCAGACAGTCACTGACATCAGTTAATTTCATTATAGCATGGAAATGAACTGGCAGATATTTGCTCCAGATAGATAATCCAGTGGGTCTGGTTATATTTTTGTCCAAGTCACATTACTGTTGCACAGTAACGTAGTGGAAAACTGACAGCGTGTTCATGTCCTGATTGGAAGTTTGAAGCCGAGCTTTAAAGTTGGAAGCACTGCTGCAGCTGGCATGTTAATGCAAGAAGCTAATAAATTCACATTATCCTTTTCATGATGTTTTCCAGCTGTTAGACTTTTGGGTTTGACTTTCTGGCAACGTCGCTCATGAGTGCAGTGCTGTTTCTTAACCTTTCAGTCTCAGATAACAGAACCTTTTAACAGCACATGAACGCACCGTGTCAAACAGCTTAAGATGTCTATTCAAGCTGTCAACAGAAATATCACAGAAAAATAATGTCACTTTGTTAAAAATAAGCAAGCCAGAGGTTTAAGGATGAGAAGATGAAGGATTATTGAAAGTCAGCTGATCTTTGCAAGTCCATTTTAATAGTAAGTTAATCAGCAGATGATAATCCTGTGCTGTGTGCAGCTCTAAGCTCATTTATCGACAAGGGCGCAGAGCTGGAGCAGGAATAATGTAGAAAAATAATCATACAACAGAGAGAAGAAGAAAAGGGTGAAGTAGTTTGTTTTGTATGCGCTGATAAGATTTCTTTCTGAGAGAAGGCAGATGCCACATCAGTTTAACCTTTGGAGAAATGCAATGATTTGCTCTCAGAATGATGCAGCTATAGACTTATCGTGTCTATTTATGACATTTATGGATTTCTATAGGTCACTTAGATCACCCTTCACGTTGAACAATGACAGTAAAGTTAGTTTGAATGTGACGCCAAGAGGTCCTCGTAGCAGCATATGATGGGTTGGGAGGGAGATTGAGTTTGATAAACACGTTTCCATGTTTACTGAGCAGATTACAGCGATACTACTGGTCTTCTTGTCTAATCCTAACAAACTGTTGAACTATTCTTTGCTTTGTCTCAACCTTTTTGCTGCTACTGCTGCTCTTCCTCACATTATTTATTATTACAATAAGGATGTCAGAGTTAGCAAATTGTAGAAAATGAGTAAATCTCCAGCATAAGACTGAAATTGAAACACAGATGAGGTCAGAGATAGATGTAATGACTTTCAGACCTTCACAGTGTTTCATTTCGCTTTAACCTGTCGGCACACAGCGCAGCGCTAATGTGTTAATTATCTACCTCTGAACTACAGAGGTGCATGGAAGTGAGTGCTTTTGTGAATATAAGTGTATATAATTGCATGAGTGTGTTATGAAGGGGGCGAGGGTGCAGTACTGAGGTAGTTCAGGTCATGGCTGAGCACACCGACACATTGCTGCACTCTGGTACCCTTTTCTTTGCAGCAGCCTGCGCCAGCTGCTCCATGTGGCTTTAGTTAGAGTCAAGCAAGGACGGCAAAGCCAAGACTCTTATTAACTTGTAGAAAACGCTCACAGACACACAGACGAGAGAGAGGGAGAGATGTTCATCCGATTACTTGACATGTTGCATTTCATTCATGGCAAACTCCAGACTAATAAAGGGCAGCATCGAGATGACATGATTTCAAAAGCACGAAACGGTCTGACAGCAGGAGAGGAGAGGACGGGCTGTTTTATCCATCATAATTATGGGCTGGACAGAGAGTGAATGGGGAGATGGCTTTGTAAAGCTGCAACAAGCTGCCAGTCACTTTTACAAGTCATGTCATCTTTTAGGTCCTTCAATCTTTCAGCTCTGACTGCGTTCCTCCGTGCTGTAACTCTCACACACACTTGCCACATCATCACCAGATCTTTATCTTCTCTCCCCTTGTTTCTCTGCAGAACATCGACATCCAGAACTTCTCGTCCAGCTGGAGTGACGGGATGGCTTTCTGCGCACTGGTCCACTCCTTCTTCCCCACAGAGTTTGACTATAACGCTCTGTCGCCCGCCAACCGCAAACACAACTTTGAGCTGGCCTTCGGAACTGCAGAGTGAGTGAGAGAAACAAGAAAAATATTTAAAGAGGATGCAGTGGTCCAATTTTTTGATTTGATTTAACCGAGACCATTTAAGCAAATACAGAACTGTGACAAACAGCGAGCCAGGCCATGTCCTATAGTTACAAAAACCACTTACCAGCACCTCTTAAGCAGGCTAGTTTTTTTTTGTCTTTCTTGATCAGTACAATGACAGTGTTTACTGTGAGGGACTTTTTTTTTCTCGCTCAGAGCAGTGACTTTGTGATAATTACCCCTGCCCAAGAAATCCTCCAACACAAAACTCAAATCTTTCAGTTTTACACCTCAGTGTGTTTGTGTGGACTAAAGGTGAATTTTGCAGCATTAATCTTATACCCTTTTTATTTTTCAAATTCAGTTAATCTACTCATCTAATAACAGTTGTTCATTCTGTGTGTGCACTAAAACAATATTGCACGTTCATACCAAGCCATGGCTCTGTTCATAGGAAACAAAGTGACTCAGACTGAGCCACACAGCACTATTTAAGTGAGCCTTGTGCACATGAAGCAGAAGTTAGAGGGGAGACAGAATAAAAAAGGGGCAGTAGAAGTGAGAGGGATGTTAAATCTGACACATGCTAACCATCGAAATCCACTAACTCGCTAAATCTCAGCAGTCTTTCTCACAATAAAATAACAAGCACCTTTAAACAAGCAAGAAATAAGGTGTTAAGTAGTCGGCTTTAGGAGGATTTCGTGTCTCTGCTTCCCATCTTTCACTAAACTAACTGGCTGCAGTTTAACAAACCGACACCACAGTGCTGTCTTTCTGAACATCACTTGTCAAGAAAGCAAATAAGTACATTTCCTAAAATATCAAACGATGACTTTAACCTCCTATTGTTCTCATTATGGAGCACACACAAACACACATTCGTTAGCTGGGAGTCAGTTGCGGTTTGTGAATTCTGCAGATCTGGACTTACAGGATTTATGGGCCTTAACTGCATCAACAATGCGTGTCTCTGCCTTATTGTGGCTGCATGTTTCTTAATGTGTTTTCTTTGGTGGTTTATTTTATAGCTCTCTCCAAACAACAGAATACACATATTTTACATAGCTATACTCCGTCCTATCCTATCCTATTTCACCATGAGTTTTTCTGTTTCACATTTGATGAAAGGTGTGCATTCCTTTTGGCTGACTCTATCATTTCATAGAGCCTAGCCTATTGTCACACTGTGCAAACAGGCTGCATACTATAGATCTGACATGATGCAGGCCTACAGCATGTACATACACATGCTGTACATCAGGGCTTAAAGAAACCACTTGATTTAATAACAGTTTATTCACTGAGTGCTGCAGAATTAAGCTGCTTTGACTGAAAAACAAAATTCACTTGCAAAGAATCAATCCTCTGTCTTCGGTGGCAGTTTCCGCTTTGACCTCTGAAGGAGCTCAGAGATATGAGATTTATGGCACAGTGAATATATATGATTGATCAAATACATCGCGTTGCTCTGTCACCTCAAAACATGTTTGGCAAAAGTCAGTGTTTTCATGAGAATTACACTGATATATTGTGCTGACTGTTGACTGGAAGGATGCAGTTGTGTTTCTGCACATTGTGTCTTATCTGAAACAATCAGTCATTTAGACAGACAACAGAAAAATAATCACAATCAACCAGCAATGAAAAAAACAAAAAGAAAGAAAAGGAAAACCAAACTGATTCCAGCCTGCATGGAAACACTTCACAGGTTTACAAGCAGTTTTAATACATCACCGTGGGCATGTTTGAGACCAAGCAATAGACCAAATTCCCTCAAATGGATCAGCTGGTGAATTAAGTCCATCTCAACTATGCATACTGTTTCATTGTTTCTAAATGCTATTTTAGGGGCAATAAAACCAACATTTTCAAACTGCTGAATCCTGTTTGGAGCTGCAAGGTGGCTCAGTGGTTAGCACTGCTGCCTCGCAGCAAGAAGGTCGCCTGTTCGCATCCCGTTGAGAACACCTGGGATCTTTCTGCGTGGAGTTTGCATGTTCTCCCTGTGCAGCGTGGGTTCTCCTGCTTCCTCCCACAGTCCAAAAACATCCATCCATTATCTATACGCCGCTTAATCCTCACTAGGGTCATGGGGGGCTGGAGTCTATCCCAGCTGACTCAGGGTGAAGGCAGGTTCACCTGGACAGGTAACCAGTCTATCACAGGGCTACACTTAGAGACAGACAACCAAGCACACTCACATTCACACCTACGGACAATTTAGAATCACCAATTAACCTCAGCATGTATTTGGACTGTGGGAGGAAGCCGGAGAACCCGGAGAGAACCTACACTGCACGGAGAGAACATGGAGACTCCACCCAGAAAGAGCCCGGTGCCCCCACTGGGATGCAAACTGGCGACCATCTTGCTGCAAAACAACAGTGCAACTTTGCAGCCCAGTCCAAAAACAGCTGAGGTTAATTGGTGATTCTAAATTGTCTGTCGGTGTGAATGTAAGTGTGCTTGGTTGTCTGTCTCTAAGTATGATAGACCCTAAGTCAGCTGGGATAGATTCTAGCCCTCCGTGACCCTAGTGAGGATTAAGCGGTGAATAGATAATGGATGGGTGGATGAATCCTGTTTGGTTTGTGTTGCAGTCAACCCATGCTCCTGCACTATAATGCCCTCTGCTCTAACTTGTCTTTCTCTGTCCTCCAGAGTGAAGGCAGGCTGCGACCGGCTGATCGAGGTGGACGACATGATGATCATGGGTCGTAAACCAGACCCCATGTGTGTCTTCACCTACGTCCAGTCCCTCTACAACCACCTGCGCAAGTTTGAGTGAAGCTCAGATGCCTCCACCAGAGCTCAACAGACACTACTTTAATTGAATTCTAATTGCTGTCAGGCACACGCCTCTGTACCTAAGCTGGAGCTGAGTGGAGACCCAGACCTGGCATGAGAGTCCTTTGGAAAGACTAGGTCTCCCCCTAGTGGTGGATTATTAGACACTCCTCCACTCGCTGCAAAAGAAGCACCTGGTCACAGAGGAAATCCTCGCAGCTCAGATCACAGTGACTCATTATTGCTGACCAGTAATGAAGAGGATGGATTTATATACAGCTGTACAGGGTGGTCTGAAAAGTACTGTTCTTTAGTTTTTTAGTTTGTGTATGAGTGTGTGTATGTAGTTGAGATGTATTGGACAAGAGTTGCTGTGTTGTATAAATCTTTATTATCACCACACATGTTTGAAAGTGAGCGTCCGTAATATTAATCTTGAGCTTTGCACCGATTGAGAGGATTCTGTCTCACAACTGTCACTGAAAACTGTGTGTGATGCAGCATGGCACGCTGTTGGGATCCAACACAATGTTATAGAGAATAAAATGATAATGTGATGAGGAGCTGAGGGATATTTCCATCCACATATGAGGTGTGACATTGTGTTATTGAGATGATCTTGAGATATGAAAAATGAATCCAATAAATTGTACCATACACCTGACTGTGGACGTTGTGTTCCTACTGATAGAATGAGAAAAGGGAAAGAGATCAACGCTGCAGAAGTTTTGTTTTTCTTTTAAAGAGAAAAAAAAAACCTTTATCAAACTTTAATCTCTGTTCTGGTGGTGGATGTTTGGTTATAAGATGACATCAGATTATTGTGACACAAGTTGTACTCAACCATAAAACAAAATTACTGTTTATTAAACCAACATTAGCTGCATTTTGCTACATGTAAAAGCATTTTGTAATAGTTTTGGTCAATGTTGAACTTCACCATCTGTTCTGGCTGCAGAACGATTCGCAGCTCATCCCATTGTTACAGGTTAGATTAAGAAGAAACTTCAGCAAAGTCAGAGTTTAACAATTATTTATTTTGACAATCAGAGGTGGGTATCCCGATTTACATTATCGCGTCTTCGTTCTTCCAAAAACAACAATCCAACCCGAAATAGCTGAAACCACCGCAGAAGGAGGACAAACCCGCAGATTTATAAAGCACACATCCACTTCAACCCAAAATCAGGGCACGGCAAATACACTGCAGGCCAAAACACCGCAAATGAAACCAGTAAGATCAGGTTGGGTATGTGTTGGAGTGACAGGCGATATACGATCTGTCAGGAAGTGACCCAATAAAAATAACATACAAAACAAAAAAAAGGAAAAAGGGAGTTAGTCCGCTCGCACAAGTTTACCAACACATAAGCACAGATCAGATGTACTAGTGGAGTGGACTAACTCAAACAAAAACAAAACTAGAAACTAAACAAACATCAGGACAGCAGGCAGCGGTAAGACGTGAATACTGGCGTCGTACTCCCACGCCCAGTCATTCACTACCACACAACTGACAGTTCTCCACAAGACCGTCCGACCCAGAATTGGTCTCAATCCACAAAATCCACAAGAGGGCCCAGCAAACGTCCTGGCCACCCCACAGGAAACTGGCACTTCGCGGGCAAAACTACCAACTTCCTCTTTTATGGGCTAATGCCCTGGGGCAAGAGTGACGCCTAGTGGTGTCACCCGTTACACCATGGCGTCAGTTTTTCTTTCAGTGTCCTCGCTACTCCTCAAGCCCATAAGGAGCAAAAAGTGGACTGTAGATGTCGCTGAAAGCAGAAGACAGGGTCATATACAAGTAGGGAACACACAGCTGTCACTGACATAAATTGAAATTGACAAAAGTAATAATAAATAAAAAAGTTAATGAATGAAAATCACGACATTGCTTTTGAACTGTGGTTCAACAAAGATATTTTTCAAAAAGACAAACAAACAAGCATGATGGGACCCACAAACTAATGTTTTGTTGAACAACCCTTTGAGCCAATCACTGCAATCAAGTGTTTTCTGTAACTCTCAATCAGACTTCTGCACCTGTTGACAGGTGTTTGGATTTTGGCCCACGGCTCATCAGCAAAGTGCTCTCATTTGTCTGGGACATTTTTTTTTATTTTTTTAAATTTTTTTATTCTTTTCAGCCACAATTCAAAGCAACGTCTCATTTCACGAAATTATAATTTAGCAGTTTTTTAAAATTTATTATTACTTTTTTCAGTTTCTAGTTATTTGAGTGACGATTGTGAATTTTGCCTTTTCTTTAATGGAAAGATCTGAATACATTTGAGGACGACTGTACATATGTTTTAAAAAACACAATAAAACTGAACACACACACCAACTGTTGTGGACTGTTTGCTGGTTTCACTGTCAGTGTGTAGATATGGTAAAAAGTCCAGATGTGCAAGAAAACTTTTCTTCCCACCATCAGGAGCTGAACTCATTTAGCTTAACATGTATTTTCAAACATGCGATGCAGCGGAACACAATGGGTTCCAAATGGAATTATGATGTCACAAGAGAAGGCAAGTGATTTTCACACTAATTTGATCTTAAATCTCTTATTGATTTCCCTTTTTCTAAATAAGTGAATTCAATCAAAAGGCCAGAAAACCAGGAATGTATTTCATGTTGTTGTTTTTCCTTTATTTCAAATCAAAAATTTAAAGAAAAGTCAACATTTGATCCACAAAATCAAAGATTCAAAGTTCGAAAAGGGTTTAGGAAGAAGTCGAACACTTATAAACACCAAAACCCCGATGTTTAGAATAACTTAAATATATTTACACTTTCATAGAGTCTCATCAGAATATTGAAGCATATTACACAACACACAATTAGGGTGGCTGTGGCTCAGGTGGTAGAGCGGGTTGTCCTCTAATCGCAAGGTTGGCGGTTCGATCCCCCGCCCCTCCACAGTCGAAGTGTCCTTGGGCAAGACACTGAACCTGAAGTTGCTCCCAATGGCAGGCAGCACCTTGCATGGCTGCTCTGTCGCCATTGTATGAATGGGTGAATGAAAAAAGTAAAGTGCTTTGTGTGCCGCAAAGGTAGAAAAGCGCTATGTAAGTGCAGACCATTTACAATGATAAAACTTTCTCATAATTAATCACCATACACAATTACATTGTTTTTAATGAGTCTCATTAACATTATTATAATTATTAATTATATCATCTTTTTTTTTAAATGTCCCTATTGTTTGATATGTTTTTATGTTCTCACTGCAGCTGTTTCATGACTGAACCCCTCCTTGTAGAGATACAATGAAGTTTAGTGTTTGTTCTTACAGCTGTTTTTTTGAACATGTATGTTCCTCTTAGACAGAATTTACTCTCCCTTGATTGGAAAACCTTTTGGATGCTGTTAGTCAGTTGGTCATTTTTAACTCGGTACATGATTTGAAGGATGTTGAAATTGATCAGGTCTTCAAATGTCAATCTTTCCAGTTTGCTGAACAGAGCGTTAGTTGGTTCTGTATCAGTGGATTTAGTCATTATTCTTATGGCTGTTTATGCTCATGATGTGGTGACTGAATATGAGAATACACTTGACACACTTCGACTCTGTGTTCGCTGGTTCCCTCCACAGTCACACTGACAGCGCTTGTGGTCCAGGCAGGTGAAAGTTCCAAGTCAAAATAAAGTTTTACTTGCAGCAAGGAGCCAACATGTGCAGTATAAGGTCTGAGCAAGTGACTGACTAATAACATGACGCATTGATTTCTACATACAGGCAGTGAAGAGAAAACAGAAAACAACCTCCTGCAAAGGGGTGAGAATAGGCAGAGTTTTCATGGTGTTTTGAGTTCTCACTAAAAACAACTTGTCCCTTTCTCACACTCACAAGGTTTAACAGAGGCAATGGACATTTACAGCATTCTCATACTTTTCACAAGATTATTGGATCATAACATAGAATTATTCTAATAATCCTGCATCTTGTTTCCTCTCAGGTCCAGTTCTGTCAGATGGGAGGGGTTGGACTTCAGAGCTGAGACCAGAGAATCACAGCTGA